CTTTCTACTTCCCAGTGTCATTTCTCTGTTGTCGAAACCAGATTCCATTTCGGTCCTCATTCAATTTATCTATAAGTTATCATAATCAATCAAGATGATAAACGGCATGTTAACGTATTTGAATGAAATATGTAAACTAAAAAATGGAATAAATCTCATCGAATGCTGCTTTGAGAGTTATCATCTTACGTTAAAAGGAGAAACAGCCTGTAGAATTACTTAACTAATGCGTTTCTTTCAAGTGAAATTACGAATGATGTATGCAATAATTTCCAGTTAGTTAGCTTCAATGACCGCCTGTCCTTTAGGGCCGCGGAGGCAGGCTAAAAACGAGGAAAGCATTTAATTTGCATATGAAACTTATGATAATGAATGAATGCAGAAAGCCTTAATGGCCTTAGCACGTGACTTGGGATTTTCACAATCTATGATTTCAGCCAAATGAAAAGGTAAGAGGCGAGTCAGTGAGGCAGTGAAGTCATCTGTATTCGCATCAGCTTAAATCCACTGTCATGGCGAAGAATAGAGCTGGATCAACGGTCAGACGGATGGAAGACCAGATACAATATTGCATACCGTTTAGCCTACTAACGATACAGAAAAAAGGAAGGAATTTCTTCGACACGCATAAAGAGCGTGTTTTTGACCTTTTGTCTACGCAACCGCTTAAGGTATGTCATGAATGATTTCAACGCCTCAAAAAGCGTCATAATTTTCATCACGTGAAAGTTCATGCTGAGGTAGTAAGTGCCGATATACCGAGGGTACCGAAGCTCTTAGGGCAATGCTATATGGGACGATTCTTGACGAAAAACGTTTGCCGAAGCAAACGTTTAACGTAGGTGAGCCGGGTCTGTTCTGGAAGCGTATGCCTAAGCGTACCTACGTTCTTCAAGAAGTCAGAAGGGTTCATGCATAGGCTGGGTTCAGAGGCATTCAAAGACATGTTACGCCGCTTCTTGATGGAAATAATGCAGGCTTTAAACTGAAGCTTTACCTAATCTAGAACTTCAAGAACCCGCAGCATTCAAGAATGTGAGCAAGTATACATTTCCCGTATATCATTGCCATAACAAGAAAGCCCGGATGACATTAGCAGTGTTTGAAGACTGTTTTTTTAAACTGTTTTTTAAAGTTTGTTGTCATCAAGACCAACATACCTCTCAAGATTCACCTCATTTATTTAATGCTCCCGGACCTCCACAGCATCTTGGCGACCTGCATCCTCATACCAAAGTTATGTTTTGACCGCCGAACACAAACACACTTATTCAACTCTTAGATCAAGGCGTACTACCTACGCAATACGTTCCCTCAGGCTGTTGAAACAACAGAGCGCTGCCAAACGCTGCTAGAATTTTGGAAAAATTTTAACGTTCTCAAAGCTATCAGAAACATCGTTGTAGCACGAGAAGAAATCATAAAGCAGTGCATGAACGGCATATGGAAGAAAGTTTTAAAGACATTTGGGTACACGTTCAAAAGCTTTAACGAAGATTCTGTTTTAGATGAGATGAATAATATTTTATTGTTTGGGAGGCAGCTAAAAGAAGATTTTCGTCAGCTTGTTGGTATCGAGGATAAGAGCCTTTCAATGAGGAGCTGATCGAACTGCTGGAAGCAAAAGGTTTAAAGGCAAAGGCAGAAGAAGTAGAAATTATGCTAAACACACCATGTAAGTTCACAATGGAAACTGGCAGAGGCGTTTGCTTGTTTTAATAGTGATTTGGAGATGATAGAAGAGATGGATGTCAATTATGAGAGATTTGCAAAACTTGAAAGACAAACACAGGATGCTCTTGCCTGCTATAAAGAAATTATAATGAAAAGAAGAAACATAATGTCCAGACGAGACTTGAAATTATCGTAGACCCAGTGCATTCTACGAGCTATGGTCGTGACGCAAGTC